TTTTAACAAGAAACAAAGCTCTAAACATCCTCTCTTTTTATTCCAAGTGTGTTCATCCTTCTATTAATTATTTTCAATATTTTGGCTATTTTAAGAGCCTTAAATTCCTGATTTTTATACACACACTTTGAGCTTGTGTTTCTAGTTATATACTCTCATATTCATAAGTTTGAATTGTATTTTTGAGAGAGTATACTTTCTTTCTACACCGGCTAAGTTTTGTTCTTCATTTTTATATTCTAGCCGTTGTGTAGAATTCTCTTTTGTGTTCTTCAAACACACCTTCTTACGGTTGAGAATAGCCGTTAAATTCTCACGTTGTAACGGTCAAGGATAGCCGTATAAATCCTTGGGTAAAGGTTCAAGGATAGCCTTTGAAATCCTTGGGGGAACGGTAGAAGATAGCCGTTAAATCTTCGTTGTAAACGGTTCGAGATAGCCGTGGTGAAATCTCGGAGTGAATCCTATTGGCAGGGGTTGTTTGCAAAACTAGTGCGGTGCTTTGACGGAGTTCAAGAGACCGGGACTTAGTGGATTCGGAAATCCTTGAGGAGGAGCCTGGAGGTACTGGAGTAGGGAGTTCCCGAACCAGTATAAAATCGGTGTGCATTTTATTTACGCTTTTATTTTCTGTGTTTTATATATTGCTTCCGCATTTGCCAACACCGTTTTTATTAAACTCCGAAAAGAGTTTAAAACGCCTTATTCACCCCCTCTCTAAGGCGTGGGCACAACGACTAAACCGATTAACAGAATGGATTTTTAGTGGCACACGGTACCGATTGAGGTACCGCCACTCACAATACCCCCTACTGTAAGCACGGTACCATGCTACCGTGAGGACGGTACCGGCCTACCGTGACCGTTGGGTTACTGTTCTTGATTTGTGATTTTGAATTAAATCAACCCTAATCACCTCCCAATGGCTAATTAACATCTTCCACTATAAATACAAGACTAATCCTTCATATTTGTTAAAGAAACAAAGCTCCAAATATCCTCCCTTTATATTCTAAGTGTGTTCATTCTTTTATTCATTATTTTCAATATTTTGGCTATTTCAAGAGCCTTAAATTTCTAATTTTTATACACACACCTTGAGTTTGTGTTTCTAGTTATATACTCTCATAATCATTAGTTTCTATTGTATTTTTGAGAGAGTATAATTTTCTTCTACACCGGCTAAGTTTTGTTCTTTACTTTTATATTCTAGCTGTTGTGTAGAATCCTTGTTTGTGTTCCTCAAACACACTTTTCTATGGTCGAGAATAACTATTAAATTCTCACGTTGTAACGGTTAATGATAGCCGTATAAATCCTTGGGTAAAGGTTCAAGGATAGCATTTGAAAT